TACCCACCAGATCAGTTTATGAGCTGCTGCCCAACCTGATGGAATCACTGTCACTGTTGCTCTCACTAATGTCGCTATACCATTAGTACGACTATGGTGACTATGGTGAAAGCCTGAAAGTTTGAAGATGCGCATCCAAATTTCCAGCACCCAAAGCACATGCACAACGCTTCCAACTTCGCAAATCTTCCAACCTTGCAATCCCCGACTAGCTTGCCAACAAGAGGACCGCGCACTTCCCGAACGCTCCGGGACAATATGATGGGAAGGAAGCATTTCTTCTTGCCTTTTGCAAGGGTGTGGGGATGGATCCGCTGAGTGTGGGGGGAGGCGGGGAGCTGTTTGGGATGAAAAGGCTCGCCAACAACCAAAGCTGGAAGATGCTCAAGAATCTTTGTTATCTTGCAGCGAGTGCGGAAGTACTACTATTATCAGTATAGCATAATGTTGCAGTTCGCTTGACTATTCGTACTACTAAGTACTAGTATTGTTAATCTCTCAAGAGTAAAGCGATACCCCACAAACACATTCACCAGATCCTTGCAAAGCGATAGGACACCCCAAACCATCCATGACCAGGCCTGAAACAATACGTTTTGACAAACGCTCATATAGACACCCCCCCCCCCCTGCACTGTAAGCAGGCTGATGCGCTGCTGAACCAGGCCATGGAAGACCTTGCACGCCAGAGCCTGTCTAGGCACGCCGTCCAAAAAGTGTATGTCAGAAGCATGTGAGGTCTGAGGAGCGTGGATGGATGAGGCACAACAAGAGAACCAGCGCTACCGGCTTGGAAAGTGCATCATGAAGATCCATGAAGCCGTATGCCTCCCCACTGTTTGCAGACTTGCTGCCTCCGGCTCGAAATCCGACATTGATCACGATGGTCCAGTTGTCAAGTTTCATCGAGACATGGTTGTTGATGTGCTTGGTTCCTTGCTGTTTGTTATTTGTCCATGTGTTTCCACTTTCGTGGTGATCGGCTGTCCCCATGTTGTTTGTTTCTTTGAGCCTGACAGAGGCCCCTTCAAAGCAGAAATGTCGAACTGCCACTCCCTTTCGGACTGGTCTTTGTGCCAGCGCATGGGAAAAGCTTTGCCGTAGCTTTCATCCATCCGTCCTAAGTTACTCTTGGAAGCCTCGATTCAAGCAGCAGGCCGTTGCGGCGCAAGACTTCTTCACTGTCAGATATGGCAGCACGGCCCCAGCCAGTGTGGAGGTTCTGCTGTTGGGAGGGGGAAGCTTCCACTAGCTCTTTCGTTGGATTTGCAATATGAGCTGTTCCATAGATAATTTGATAGTTGGTTGGCGTAGGGGAAGTTACACTCGGCAATCAGATGGTTTGTCATGCCACGTTTCTTACATGTGAATTTCGTGGTGAGCGGCATTGACCGTCAACAAGACTATCTCCGGAGAGGGCTTGAAGGCCAACACCATTGGTGGTAAACCCATGCTTCAAACCAGGCCTTTGGACAATAACGGGGAGCCTGCCGAGCACGTGATGCCGTGCATTCGAGAGGTTGTCAGGCGGGACCGTTGCCAATGCTTCAAATGCTTTTATTCGGCTAGATCCAGCCCGATGGAACACCTGCGTTCGCGCGCATCAAAGTAGGTCCCGACAACTTTAGGAGGCTCCGATTCTTGATGTCCTTCGACAGCGGTTCATTCACAGCGCTGGCCAACGATAAGTTCACCACGCCATCGGGCCAGCCCGAGAAGCGGGTGAACGGCGGCGACCGAGCCCATCCCTTACGGATGGGGATGCGCCACGATTAGAGAAGTCCTCGGATTCATGAGCGATGCCCACATTATCCCGCAGAAGGGCAGCCTATGCGCCAGGCTCCAATCAGAACAACGCCCGGGCCCGGACGCATATCAAGTGGCGGATGTTCCCCAGGCAAGAAACGATGAATCCCGAAGCCGCGAGTCGGACGCTTTCGGTCCCTGGAATAGCATGGAATCGCACTCGCCCCTGCCATCGATTTGCACATGTGTGCTCGTGGGCTAAACAGACGGTCTGGTACCACGGGGCTGGATACCATGCGATCAAGGACAAAAACCCCTGGCCTGCAGGCCGATCGCGTGCCGCATGGATACGGGTTCGGTTCTTCAACGGTCCATTCAGTTTCTCGGCCGGCCCAATGTTCGCACTGGCCCTCTCAAGGATGAGCGCAGGGAGGAATGGCTTATGCAACGAACCGATGCCCGTCGTGTGCTGCAATGTTCCCGTCAGGGCTTCGTATCTTCCAGCTGTCCATGAAATCGACTCACTACCCCGATGGCCTGTACTTCATCGATCCGACGGAGCAATTCAAGGTGAAGTTTCGAATTGAGCTTACGCCGTGGCTGATGAAGGAAGTCCGTGACGACAATCAAGTAGAATTCCGGTTTCATTCACACCTGCAATTAATGCTCTGCGACACCTCAGGAACTTGCCGATGCCACGATCACTGGCAGAGGACCGCCGGAGAACTGCCTCCTTTGGCATTGCGCCGATCAAGTGCTCGCGTGTGAGCGTCTCTGGTGAAGAGATGGAGCTCTTCAAGAAGAAAGTGCGAGGCACGCTTCAAGGTGCGCTTCGCTTTGATCTATCGATCGAGCGCCTCGTCGCTAGCATGTCGGGGAAACACTCCGTGATTACAGCTGAGAACCACTTTCGCCCCTCCGATCGTCAAGCGCTACCGCTCTCTCTTTGTACCACCAATGTCTGCGACAAGGGTATCTCCGCCCACACTAAATTTTGAACGAACCGGTTGATCCCAACTGGATGATGTGTCTGTAAGAGGCCCATTCCCACCACGACAGACGTCGAGCAGGCATGTCTAATGGCAATGAGGCCAAAGCGATGGAGAGGGTCCGCGAGACGATTGTGAACGAGGAAGTCTTCAAGCGCTACATCCGTGTCGGTTCTGAGCGGTTGTCCCTGCACCTCGCCAAGCTGACCCTAACTTCATGCTACGGCATTCCTGTCAAGGGCGAGCCAGGGCAAATCCGGGACGACGAGGATGTGGGACAGGAGGCCTCCGCCGCCGCCGTAAACGACGACACACAAGATTATGTGGATTGCGTGCCCCCAGGGTCACGCGTGTGTCCTCTTCGATGGGCATCGCGCTGTCGGGCCTGCGGCATGGGTGGCGCAAGCCTTTGGGCAAGGAGGAGATGGCCACTCGAATATGGGTCGTCAACGACGTGCCGAAAACCTGGCACCACATAAGGCCGTGGGCGAGCTCTTGGCCACTCGCTGCCTTTGATGCTCCTGAGATCATCTCGCATCGGTGGCACCGGGACTCGCAGGTTCAAGGTCAAACTGAAGAGTGGTGGTGGTGACTGCGACGTGGTGCCTCATTGCCGAATATCTGGGGGCCGACAGTCTTCAAGAAGGAGGTCGTTGCTGTGGCCACTGCCACTCCTTCTGAGGAGCAGGGCAAACCGCAGTCGCAAGCCAAGCAGGCTCGACAGGAGGTCCGTAGTTTCCCGAGGGACCTGGTCAAGGAGGAGTTCGCTCGTGAAGGGAATTGCGTGTTGCACGCTTTCTCGGGACGACGACAGGCATCCCAGAGTGCTGCGGGCCGAGCTGGTTACCCACCTCCTCAAGCACGAGCGGTACAAGCGAGAGTGGGACGGGCTGTGCCTGCAGGGCAACAAGTGCGACAACTTCGAGATTTACTGTCTATGTCCATCTGGTTGGCGCCTTCGCGCACCCGCGCCTGGATCGGGGGATTCGTCGAGCTAGTCCAGGGCTCCCCAGGACTTTGGTTCTCGCTAGAGGTCAAGAAGAGCTGGGCGCCATGGGCCTTTGCTAAGGGCGACCCAAACAAGGTGATCGCCGCGGTTGAGCTCCGATGCTAAACACAGGAAAGCGATGACAACCAAGTTCCCTTTTACGCTAAACCTCATGGAGTTAGCGGAGGAGCTCTCGGCAAAGAACTGCGAGCTCCAGCTAAAGTGGATTCGGCATGACCTGAATCAGCTAGCGGACGATCTCACGAGTGAGAAATTTCGCTGCTTCGACCCAAACTTCAGGTTAGACCTGGAGGGGGAAGCGCTTCGCTCGGCTAGCTGCTAGTCTAGCTTGACTACGAATACCCGGGAGGTGTATCCGGGGATGGTGGTGGGTCGGATAGGACGCTGGTGCACCATGCGGTTCATTACCTTGCGATCAAAGGGCTTTCCCATTGCACCGACGCTTCGGTACTGTGTTGCAAGCTCTGCGATGAAACAGCTTGAAGCATAGACTTGATCAGCTGGCAGGAATCGACCCACGTCTGTTTAAGCTTTGAAGGCTTGCAAAAGATGTGGATCCGTGCACAATACAACACTCGTCTGACACTCCTATACTCCTCCCATGCGTGTGTTTCGCGTCGAAATGCGCGTGATTTCATGTTTTTTTGTGTACCTGCCATGCTGTTACGTTTCATGTCAACTTTGTTTCACGCCTCTGCTTGACTGCTCAAGACTGATTCATGTGGGGTACAGTTCAGCAAAGGCCATGGCACAACAAGGCTTGTGTGTGGCGCACGATTGCACGGTCAGCTATGGCAGCTAACAGCATCATATCGACAAAATTCGTGTGCAAGCAAGCTTAAACGCCATGGGCCTTAAGCCGGTCCCGATTGTCGACGGAATTGCAGCGCTTCCGGTGCAGTCACCTGGGAGGCTTGCTGCAGTCAGCTTGCATGCAACATCCCAAAATCACAAGACCGCGTCAGCTAGTGGGTGTGGGCTGGGACCATGGCATCTCTCTTAAGAGAAATGGAAGCGTAGCTGCTCAGCTTAGGCAGATGCTTTTCGTAGCAGACTTGCAATCCGCCTGAAGCTGCGATAAGGTCAGTGTGACCAAGCAGACATGGTAGAATGCGTGTCAACGAATTGCTTGAGCTGCAAACACCGCAGTAACATCGCCGGCAACCCTTTATCCAGGTATGGCTTTGTCCTTGTACCGTCAGTGTCAAAGCTGATCGTACAGTGGCGGAGAACAAAACCAGCTAAATCCAGCTTTGATGCGATCATTTTGTCAGTGCTGCCCTACCACTGCGCCCAGGAAAGGCTCGGTGCAACCGTGCATCATCCAAAAGCAGGCAGGGCAGCGCGGCGTTTCGTGGCATGGCTTCAGGAGCCCCAAGGCCGCCGTTTCGAATTCTATGACAGGATGGCTCCGTTGCAGTGGAGTGGGCAAGCATTGTATTGGATGATGAGGAGTTGGAGGTTCGATTGATTGATTCGCGAGCCATCGAATAAATGTGCAGGTGGCATGGTGTAAGCTGGTATGGCAGAGTCTGCAGTTGTTGGCAGGATTTCGTGGACAGAAGAATGTCCGTCATGCTGGCGCGGCTTCCCAGCTCTCCTGCCGGTGCGGTCGAATGCGCAGTAGACCTAGCAGACAACAGACTAAGCCAAGCAGAACCTCTGGCCAAAATGCTTCAGAGCCTGCGTGAAGCAGCGCTGCACGTGACGACACTACGGCTGCATAAGAATCGCTACGACGACTCTGCGGCTGCCACGCTTGCTGAGCACATTCGTGCGGCCGCGGATCAAGGGCGACCTTTAATGCAGCTTCATTTGAGCAACAATTCACTATCAGAAGCTGGCCTGCGGCTTTTGATTGAAGCCGCGCATCGCAGCAAAGGCTACCCTCGCTCGACGGACTGTGCGAAGCTGAAGAGCTTGGGGGCAGACTCAGGCCGTCGAGTGCTTTGGCTACGTGCTGAAAATCAAGATCCGCCAATAGCGCGGCCGCGGGACTTTCTGGACGCTTGCAGTTCCTCGGGCATGCCTGTCTGCGTGTTGGCAGACGGTTCGGGTCAGAAGCCTCCTGTGGATGCCGTGGTTCAGATGCACGAATACTT